ACAGCATTTCCCTCAATCCACCAATCCTGGGGACCAATGACTGGTTAGTGGCAGGCCAAGGCAGGGAATGGAGCCATTCCATCAAACCATCCAGTGAAATGAGAACCCTGACTGGGGATCCCTCTCATCTTGGTAGAGTGGCCAGAGCTCCTAGCTTACCAGGAGACCAGACCTTGGAGCTCCAAGGAAACAATCCTCAGAAAAGACTATCTTCTACAGAATCAATCACCCTGAAGCCATGGGTTCATTTAGTTTTTTTCATTCATTCAGCAAACACTTTTGGAGCACATCACTCTGTTCTGGGCTGCACTGGTTCTCAGCACTCAGGATTCTCCAGTGAAGGGTAACCTGGCCCCGCCTGCAAGGAGTTTTCACCTACTTTCCCCTACTGCTTCCAGCATAATGGTATCATCCCCCAGTTGGGCACAGAGCCTGGCATCTTAGCAGGAGCGAACTAAAATTCTGTTGTTTACTGATTGGCTTGTAGTGAGGAAACAGCTTATAACACATAATTATTAAAATAAATTACTCTCAGGGAATTCTTTATATCATTAATTTATGCAATAAACATTGATGCACATTCTATATGCAACCCTGGGTTGGGGACACAGAGATGAGACAAGGAGATCATAGGACGAGTCAGAGGCCAAAGACTGCAGTTTGGTGGGTCCCCACCAGGGGATGCATGCGGTTTGTGGAGCACAGGAATGTTGCCACTTTGGCCATCCACATGCCCAGTTCTAGTCACACTTCTTTGATGCAACCATTGCACAAGTGAAGTTTGTGACATCCTAGGCCTACAGAGCCCAGCCCTGGCAACCTCACTGGTCAGGCAGATTTTGTCCCTCAACTTCATTCATTCTTCCCTCACATGGGTCCCTTTGCCCGAAATGCCTTTTCTCTTCCTACTCCTTTTCTGCATGTCAGAAATCTGGACCTCATTTAAGGCAAGTTGGTATAATTTTAGCTAACATTAAAGGAGCCTTTCTCTGTGTGCCAGCCCCTCCTCTTGGCACTTTACACATGTCCTCTCTTTAAACTCTGTTCTATCCAAAGACCATGCCCTTGCCTGTGTCCTCTGCTGAAGGGGACACAGGTCCTGGCTAATTATGCCTGGTGGTCCCTCTCTGGACTGGAAGTTTGAGAATGTGGTCTGACTCACAGATCTAACAGTAGCTTCACCACTGAAACTCTCTGGGCCTCAGTGCCTCATCTAGCAAATGGGGATAACAGCACCACAGTGTTGTGAGAAGACTGAAAGAAAGCTTAGAGAGTCAGACCACGGTGGTTGACACATGGTAGGTGCTCAGTGAAACAGTGGCTAAGTCAGCAGGTTTTCAACAACACTTCCTTTCCCCCATAAAAACACCTCCATACACACCCAGTACTTCATTCAATATTTGAGGGCCTACTATGTGCCAGGTGCTGGCCGGATACCTCAGTGTAGCTTCTGTTATACAAAAGGCTATAACTTTTGCCTCTTTTTGCAAACAAGCCAGAGCCTCGTGTTCACTCACCCTGTGTATGAGACAGTCCTGGGGCTGTAGCTGAGCCAAACCCAGCCTTCTGAAGGGTAACCCAGGAACTCTTATAATCACAAGGGACAGAAAACTAGCGGGAGAGCATAATGACTGGGTTCTGCCGCCCCCTGGTGTCAGTATGTACCTACCATCCAGGCTGGAGAGCTGTGAGAAGGTGCTACCTGTCCATGCACCCTGTGCAAAGCCAGTTTTCTTCATTTGTGAGGCATGTCCCCAGCTGGCCAGAGAGCCATCTCTTCTGCCTATCCCATTTCCAAACTGCCATCTTGAACCCCCCGGGGGTGACCCTAAATCTAAAGCCAGTCTTCCACCCTAATGGGAGCCAAGAGAGGGTTAGGGGAAGGATCTAGTGGGACTGAGCTGAGTCAGAGTATGCAAATCTGCAACTGCCCTGAACATCTAGTGAGATGTCTACCACACCAGTCTTTGGACTGGCAGTCCTGCCTAACCCCCCCAGGGCCAGCCCTGCTTCCCCTAAGACAGGGGTCAGGGCTGGGGGTTCATCTCTTCTCCTTCCTGGACTCAAGCCATTCTCGGGCCACGTCTTTTCTCATCCATAACACCATAACAGCTCCCACCACTCTCTTGGCCTCCACTCTCCAAGAGAGTGGCTCAGCCTGGCCACTGCAGCTAAATAGAGGGATCCTCTATTTAATAAAGCCCTCTCCTCCAGAATCCCCTCCTACAACCCAGATTTCCTAGGCACAAGACCCTGAAGACTCATCCCTCATTGCAGTCCTCCCTGAACATTTTTCTGGTCTGACTTCCTCTACTCAGACTTTGGCAAACATATCTCTGACAAATGCCCCTGTATGCTGCAAATGACCACTCAGATGTCACCGATGGCTGGGTATACAGTTGAGCAGATTGGACCCTGTACGAGGGCAAAGGGCTGCATCAGCCTGGAGGAAGAGGTGCCCTTTTAGAAATTTATCCACCAAGAGCAGTGTTTCTTTCTACTTTGCATGAAGTTGCCATACAGGAGGCAGAAGCTCCAAACCATTGCTCCCATTGTCCCCTGAGAGGCAAGTCTCATGTCACTGAGAGCACATTTTCCAACACCAGACCCAGCATCTAACTCATGCTGGACCTATTTTATTTGTCTCCTTGGCTACTCTTCAACACATAGGTGAGATCTAGGCTGGCCCAGAACTCAGTGCTGGCATCTCCAGTGAGGAATGGGATAGACGCAGTCTAGAGCACATGGTTGCTCACCGTCCCCCCCCTCAAGTTAGCTTCTCCTCCAGGGGACTCCTCCTCCCTCTTTATGTCATTCTCTCTCTAAAGGAAGTCCTTGCCTGGCCCTGCCTTGTCTCTCTGGGGCCAGATTGGGTGGCAAAAAGCATAAAACTCTACTATAAGAGTGGCATTGCCTCCTGTTTTGGGCTAAGTGGAAGGGAGCTGGCAGCTGCCCCATGGAGTCCTGGAGATGACAAGGCAGAGTTGTTCTCAGGTGTGCTCACAAAACTGCAGTTCTTAGCCCAGGAGTCTCCTCTGCCCCCAGAGAAAGGCTGGAGCCCAAGCAAAGTCCCAAGGTGGGTGGAAACATAACTTAAGAATGCCCCCAGTGTATGTTTGGGGTACTCTATTCAATGAGCACCATACACCAACTTCAGCCTCTCACTTTCTGCACTGAGAAGCTTGGCCTCTGTGAAAGAAGCTGCTACCCACCTAAGAGTTGCCCTGCTTGGCCACTGCAAGGCCCTTAGTGAGACAGACCCCCCGCTTTCCTATAAGAGGAGGCATTTGACCACTTTAGGAAATGCTCCACCAGGACGGAAGGTCACTTGGAGTCAGAGTCAGCTAACCTCCCTGGATGACGAGGACCCCACATTGTGAGAGGCTTATTCTCACAGGCTGCTGAAGACCCCTGCCACAAGTGGCCCAGGAGCCCCAGACACCTCCCTGCAGCCACAGAGAGCTGGCTTTGGTTCCATGTTTGGGGGGGGCCTCCTGACAGCAGGGCAAAGGGGGGAGCGGCTCCGAGACTACTCACCACTCAGATAATAAGTGGCGGCTATTACTGTCACCATAATCATCATTGTTTTGATTGCCCCGACCCCAGTTCTAGCCCTGCCCTTGTCTGTTAGAGATGCATCGGGACCAGAGTGGCCCTGCATAGCTTGTCACAGACACTGGCAGACAGAAGGAGCTTAGGGAGCTGAGGGGATTAGAGAGGCTTCACTCGTTCCCCCAGCTCAAGGGAAGTGTCCCTGTGGCCTAACTCAGGGCAATGGTGGGGGTGGGGGAAGTGATTGCCTGGCCCTGGCCCACCAACCCTCCAGGTTCAGGCCTGATACAACCATGCACTCAGTACAGGCGGATGGATCAATTAAAACTTCAGATCAAATCCCAGTCTGCCAGATATCTGTGTGACGCTGGGCAAGCCAATTAACCTCTGAGCCCTGGTTAAAAAAAGGATGGTATGACCAACCTCCTCGAATTTGTTGTGAACATTAAATAACACACGCAAAGCCTCAGGTAGAAATTTCAGGAGGGTCAACTTCCTCCCCTTCTTTGGCTCAGAAAGGATTTTGCTACCACTTCTCATGGTAAAATAACAATTAACACTAACATTCACAGGGCATTTGCTCTGGGCTAGGCCAGGTTTAAGGCCAATTTAAGGACCAACCACTTCACACAAATTGTCAGGCTGCATCTGCACATGGGGGTAGGGGGTGGAGTTTCTTCAGTGGCATCTGGGGGACCCAGGGCTCAGAGACAGGAGCGGCTGGTGCAGGTAGTAGAGCTACTAGGTAAGAGGGCTTGTGGTGAGACCGCAGGTGAGGGGGTATAAAGGGTGGGGTGAGGGGAGCGCTGAGTGGAGATCCAGCCAGGTCCTCGCAGAGTCCTAAGAGAGTGCAGGGGTGACTTCTGTGAGGCGGAGGGGAAGAGGCTGGAAGTGGCGGGACACAGTCCCGGATAGGGCAAAGGAGCCAGGGGAACCCCGATCTACAGAAATCTTGTGTTCTGGCTGAACGGCGGGGCGGGAGGGCTCGTGAGGAGGCCCCTGGCTGGGATCGGGAAGTCCAGGTCAGTCCTGGTTACGCCGCGGACCTGCTGCGGGACCTCGGAGGCCAGCACCCTCGGTTTCTGGTCCCAGGAGATGGACAAGGACGCAATAAGTCTGCCGCCGGCCTTGGCTCGGGGCCTAATCTGATCAGCGGAGGTCCTCGCCATCAGGGGAGGGGGCGCGAGAACCAGAGGGAGGCTGTGTCAGGGTCGCGGGGAGTAAGGCCCATGTGGTCTCCGCAGACCCAGCTGCTTTCCAAACCGCGCCCGGAACCCGCCGGAATTGGGGGCAGAGGGTGAACCTAGGAGGTCCTGGGGACCTTGAAGGGACGGCCCGGCAGCCGGGGATGGGGGCTTGGCGGCGGGGATGTAACACTCCCACCTCGGGCGAAGACCCCATAGCCTACTGGAGACGGGGTCAGGGACACTGACGGGGCGGGGACTCACCCGCGAACAGCCAGAGGGAGCCCCCCGACACGAGGAAGAAGGTCAGCATGGCGGTCAGCGGGGCCCGGCCCGGCC